CCTAGCAAAAATGTATGAGATTTTTCCTTTGGGTGAATTTTCACACAACATTCTCCACCGTATTTTGTTTGCTTATGTGTTGCATTCTTCCCCCCCCACCACCACCACCCCAATGCTCTGAAATGAGGCATTGTGAAGGATGCAAAATGGTGGCTGGTCTGCCAACACAGTTACTGCTGCTGTTGCTTGCAAACAAACAAAACCTCTTAGGTTGAAAGGAGGTGTGCTTCTAATAATAGTTGCTCTATTATTAGAAGCACCCCTCCTTTCAACCTACTCTATTCTGAACTTAAAAATGGAAAGCGTAATGCTGGTGGTCAACAAAAGAGTTTTAAAGATTGTTTCAAGGCAAATATTTTAAAAAAAATAGTATAAACACCAACAATTGGGAAACACCTGCCTGCGAGCACTCCAATTGGAGAACAGCCTTTCCCAAAGGTGTCATGGGCTTTGAAGACACTCAAACTCAGGTTGTAAGGGAGAAACGTGCTAAGAGGAAGGCATGCTTGGCAAATCCACACCATGATCAACTCCCACCCAGAAACCTATGTCCCCACTGTGGAAGGACGTGTTGATCCAGAATTGGCCTCTACAGTCACTTACGGACTCATTGTTAAAACCATGTTTATGGAAGACCATCCTACTTGGCTATGAGTGATCACCAAAGAAGAAGAGCTTCTATTAATGGGGGAAATGATGGAAAACTTCTTCCTGTGGAGGTAGTTCACTGAAATAGTCCCTTCAGTTTCTCTGCCTTCAGGTAGGGTAGAGAGTTTCATTCGTGCACAGCTCTAGGTAAATAATGTGGTGTTCTCCAGATGTTGATGGAATACAGCTGGATCTGATGGGACTTTTAGTTCAACCACATCTGGAGGCCACCACTGTCGTTACCTCTGGCTTAAACAATTGAGATGCTTAAGGTGCAAAGTGTTGTTGTATGAACAAACTTTACATTGTGCACATAGAATCATAGTATTCTTGGGCTGGAATGGGACCCCAACGGTAATTTAGTTCAATCTCCTGCAATGCAGGAATCACAGCTAATTTGCTGATCACATGCACAATTGCAAACACTTGTTGATTTATATGCAAAACGATTGCTTTCGCCCCATTATTATACCTTCTCCTAAAAAGCAGGCTTCAGTCATCTGTCTAGCAGAACAAGGAGCCAGCCTGCAACATCTGTTATCCAACTGCAAGAGAAAGGAGAACTCCCATTTAAATTCTCTTTCTGATGTAGTATTTCCTTATTCTGTGTGGTATCCACCAGCAGCATATTCATCTTCTTTTTTACTAGCCTCAGACCTTTACTAAGTCACTTGTGGCTCTGTGCATTACTCCATCTTTAAGTGAGTTATAAAGGGCACCAGTAATTCATGGAGATAATGTATCCTCTGTCAGGCCGCTGTAGCTCATGTTTTTCCCAGGGTATTCTGCTGTATCTGATGTAATTTGGAAATTGATCTCTTCTATTGTGGCTAGAAGTTTTTTTTAAAAAAAAATGATAGAAAAAGTTTGGGCAACACCTTTAAAAGTTGGCCTGTATTGATTTTTTAATGATCTGATTCTTTGACCTGATGCTTCAGCATAATGAGAGATTTTTGGGATGTGCATGATAGCCGTGGTATCAGTTTAATGTCACATGACTCACCTCTATTGCACGCTTGGACTTCCCTAGGGTGTCCGGTTAGTGTCATTGTGAGAACAGAATCCTGATGTAGGATTCCCATAATCCATGTTCCTATAACCCAACATGGTTTTTCTTATATTCTTATGCAACCAGTAAGAAAGAGAACCTATCATATCCTAGTCTTTGAACCAAGCCACTGAGCAGTGAAACAGAGGAAGCTGCCTTATACTGAGTCAGCTCAGTATAGCTCAGTATTGTCTACACTGACTGGCAGCAGTTCTTCAGGGTTTCAGATAGGATTCTTTCTTGGCCCTATATGGAGATGTCAGGGATTGACCCTGGGACCCGCTACATGCAGCGATAGTGCACTACCTATCAGTGGTGTGGTGTAGATTGCCAGCACCCAGGGGCATGCGGAGGGAGTGGAGGGAAGGAAACGGATGGAGCACATATGTGCATTCAACAGCCTAATGGCATCTGTATCACCCAGGGGATCGCAGCTGCAGAGATAAGAAAAGAAGAGTCATTCCGTTGACTGGAGATGTCGCTTCCTGGTTTGCATGGAGGATCCATTTTCAACGGAGTCCAGTGACAGAAGTGGGCTGCTGTATTGATGCATCACCAGGTGTTGAAATATTTGTGCCTGGGGCAACTGCCCCTGTGCGTCCTCCCCTCCATGCTACGCCACTTCTACCTATAAGTTATGGCTTTTTCTCGAGAGACTATTGGAGACAACTCCAGGTGCTGATTGATTTGTGGCATCAGGACTCCTGGGACATGCTGGTAAGCATGAACAAGACCAAGAAAAGTCTCCTCCTAAGGAAAAAGTTATGAGTGGTTGGGATGGCAGCTGAGCCAAGCCTGTGGGCATAGGGCAGGGATAGCCAATGTGTTGAGGACCACAACCCACATCATGTCTGACCATTGGCCATCCTGGTTGGGGCTGATGGGAGTTTGAGCCCAACAGTACTTGGATGGCATCACATTGGCTACCCCAGCCCTGAACTTCTGCCCTGTCTCAAGGCAGTTTGGAACAAGCATCTCCTCCCCATCAACTTGACGATTTCCAGGTGTCTGTCCTATTGGGCAGAGCTGAGTTGGCCAAAGGAGATTTCATGGAGTAAAAAGCCTTGCCAGCAATACAGGCCTGAAAGTATCCTCTATGATAAATGAGGAGGCTGTTAATCAATGCTAGCTATTACTGTGCTGCTCTTCTCCCGTATAACTGACAGTCATTAAAAAAAAGAAGCAACTTCTTTCTCCCAAGGGAAGTATAAATTATAGTGCACATCAGACTTAAGTGAAATGGGACAAACCTGTGAGAGGCAAGGGGCAGGGAGTCTGCGGCTGGAGTTAATGTGGAGAGCCACAATGGGAATAGCTTTTGGAAGGAGCGCACAGAAATTGGTACTCCTGCAATCACATCGTTTGGAAAAGTGTGTGTGCGGGTTCATTCTGAGGTCCATTCACTTAAAGCTTTTTAGCGTGGTCTCAGTCTCGGACACAAGCAGCAATGTGGAGCTCATTATCCACATGTTCGCCACAGCAAAAGTGTTCTCTAGACAAGGATCATCTCGGCTGCTTAACGCGTGCACTCCTGAAGAGGGCTATTATGTGGATACAGTACATGGTGCATATAGAAGGGAAGCCATTAACATTTAGTCAGAGAGAGAGAGAGAGAGAGAGAGAGAGAGAGAGAAACGCTAATGCAGTTCTGCTTTGTATGGCCCAAGAGAGCCTTGCCCAGCCAGCCCAGCCAAGAGGGATGATAGTGCAGCAAAACTTTTCTAACATACAAAGAAACAAAAGGGATGCAGAAGTCAGGGTGACTTTTTCATACACGTGTAGCCAAATGTGCCCCCCCACCTCATTATCTGACTTTCAAAGTTTTTCCCAGGCTGCACCCCAGCAGAGACGTCACCTTGCCAACAAAGGCCTGTATAGTTAAAGCTATGGTTTTCCCAGTAGTGATGTATGGAAGTGAGAGCTGGACCATAAAGAAGGCTGATCGCCAAAGAATTGATGCTTTTGAATTCTGGTGCTGGAGGAGACTCTTGAGAGTCCCATGGACTTCAAGAAGATCAAACCTATCCATTCTTAAGGAGTGCTCACTGGAAGGACAGATTCTGAAGCTGAGGCTCCAATACTTTGGCCACCTCATGAGAAGAAAAGACTCCCTGGAAAAGACCCTGATGCTGGGAAAGATTGAGGGCACTAGGAGAAGGGGACGACAGAGGACGAGATGGTTGGACAGTGTTCTTGTAGCTACCAGCATGAGTTTGACCAAAGTGTGGGAGGCAGTGGAAGACAGGAGTGCCTGGCGTGCTCTGGTCCATGGGGTCACAAAGAGTCAGACACGACTAAACGACTAAATAACAACAACACCCCTCACTGTTCCTGCTTCACACACAAATATTTTTGCCTGGCTTGAATGTGCCCTGCTTGAGCTCTGATAATGACTTTTGCTCATCTCAGTAGAGGGGTGTGTGGGTGTGCATGTTGAAACTAGCCTACTGTACAAAGGCAAAACCTGCCATTTTTGCCCCACCCACTTTTTCCTCTGTTCCCACCCACTACCAGCATGTGGCCCTTGGAAGGTTGCTCAGAAGAGAATGTGACCCTTGGGTTAGAAACCTTGCTGCAATCCTGCTGTATAGACTGGCAGCTGCTACTTTTGCTGATGTTCCTGCACCTTCCTAGCCACGTTAAAGGCTTCCTCTACGTGGCTTTGACGATGACATAACACTCAAATGATGCTTGCTCAGTTCTTTCAGGAAGCATGCTTCTTGAGTGTATAAGCATACAAGCAAGACAAACCAGGTGAGAAACTGTGGAGGTGACAGTGGCCATGGATCATGGAAAGTTGTCTCCTACAAAGTCAAACCATTTGTTCCTCTGGTTCACTATTGTTGATCCCAGGAATGGAAAACCTATGACCCTCCAGATGTTGTCAGATTGCAACTCCAATTAGCCTCAGCATGGGCCTCTATGTATGTGAGTGATAGATGATCTAGGATTTTACTAAGCAAGTATTTGATTCATTGACACATGAATAACCAGCCTGAAGGATCACCTTCAACGTTTCCATTGTCCAGGTCACTGTGTGTTGGAAATATGAGGAAATTTTCTTCAGCCAGTTCACCTGAGGGCTGTTGACTGACCAGTTCATAGTTTTGGGTTCACATATTTGGCATTGCATGTCTTCAAGGCAGATGCCTTTAAAAAGCATTCATTACTGAATTCCCTCATTCCCTGAGGGCATAAAGAAACAACCACTTCTTGCAGCCCATTATTCAAATTGCGTAACCTTGGAAATCCCATCAGACGTCAGCCTGAGGGCCACAGTTCTTTCTGGGTAACCTTCCAAGCAGCCCCCAGTGGCACAATGGGTCAGTGTGTCTTGCTGTTAACCACCAGAAGGTTGGTGGTCCGAGCCCATCCAGGGACAGCTGTGGGCGGAATTCCTGCATTGCAGGGAGTTGGACTGTGTAACCCTTGGGATCTCTTACAACTCTACAATTCTGTGACTGCTTTTTTCATGGCTTCATACATTTTGTGAGTGTTGCCAGTGTCAGCAGTGAGTTGGATGCTCTGACACAGCGTTAGTCTAGCACATTGTCTGGCAAGCCACTGGGCATCATTCCTTGTCTTTCTCAGTGCAGGGAGCACACTTGTAGTTCACAAGAGCCTTGCACTTTGCACCAATAACAGGCTCCAATTCTTTAATGCCAGCCTCAAACCAGTCAGGGTTCTGCTGCTCTCTTTTGGCAAAAGAGGACATAGCTGTGTTGTAGGTTGCATTTCTCCGATAAAAATATGAACATCTTATTCAATAATTGTTGTTGTTGTTGTTGTTGTTTAAACCCCACCCATATGACTGGGTTGCCCCAGCTGCTCTGGGCGACTTCCAACATATACAAAAACACAATAAATCATTAAATAATTTCTTTGTACAGGGCTGCTTTCAGGGGCTGCCTAGAATGGCACACTTTTCCAGGATCAAATCAGAAACTGGGATAGCATCTGTAAATCTGGGACTGTCCCTGAAAATTTGGAGGGTCTGTTGCTATAGTTCCACAACAAACAATACTATCCTAACCTAATCATGTCTGCTCAGTCAGAAATAAGTCCTGCTGAATTCTTACTCCTAGAACAGGGGAGTTAGGATTGCAGCCAGACTCATAAAGCTGCCCCTTTCTGAGCACATCATCTAGCTGTACAGAAGTTCTAGCCCCTTTTGCAGTTTAATTAACAATGTTTACAGTACAGCCACAGGCCTGTCTCCTGATGTGGAAAACTGAATTGAAGGTTGGTAAAATGAGAAACTCAGAGAACCCAAAGTAGACAGATTTGCCAATCCCTACTGTCGTGCTCACAAAGTGGTTCCCAGGGAAACCCCTTATTATCAGATGTGCCCCAAAGCCACCTGTGTATCAAGAGTTTGGTGGCATTATGACATCTAAGATGAAGGGCGGTGTTACCAGAATGGGCTCTGACACAGCCCACCTGTTCCTGGATCTCTGCCAGAAGTCCTTCAGGTACAATGAGAACTAGGGGTTTCTGTCCACTTTGTCAGATACCTATTAACATTGCAAGACCAGCAGGTCCATAAATTGTGCATTGTTAGCCCAACCCAGAGATTCTCAAAGGGACAAAAAGGGCAGCTGAATATTAGAGTATTGCAATAATAATAATAATACACCAACAACCATTTATTTTGGTACAACTGATGTCCTTAACAGCATTATTAGTAAACACATTATTGATCCACAATAAAGTATTTTTTTCCCCACCTGTGCTTGGAAAATGTAAATCTTCAAGTGGTGAAGTTTTTCCTTTTCTTCAAAACTGCAGTCTCTGACTAATACAACTGCCTTTAGAATTCTTCATAGCTAAATTACAATTATTATGCAAAGCCCTACAATAGACAGCTATATGGCTTGTTAAATGACTTTGCCTTTCCCCCCCTCCTTTCCTTTTTTTTTGGCAAAGCATAATCATTTTCCTTTATTAGCTGAAGGATTTCATAATTTAAGGAAGATGAGAACCTATAAGTCACACTTTCAAATAAGGAACATGGATATTGCAAACATTAAATTCTCCCATAAAAATGTTAAGGCATCATTAAACTAGGATCAGATTAATACAATCCAGTCAACTCTGGATAGATATCGCCTGTAATAGGCTGAAACAATACCTAGTGATATAGGATGTATAAGATTTTACTACAACCAATTTATACACCTATAAAACATACAGGTATCACTCAAAGCTATCATTAACCGTGCGTGTCTTGCATTAAATCAAGTGAGTTTGATAAAGAGAAGAAGGGGAGGGGGGCAGTTTGCCCCCTTCTTACGTCTCCAATCTCTATTATCTGTCACCAAGCATCTCATTTCTAATTTGAGACAAATAAGCACTCCATTCTGGTAACAGTTGACCTGAGAACACTTGACTTATCAATCTGTTTAGATGTCTGGCGGATTTATGTGTGCATGCTAAGATCACAACTCTACCTTATTACTTTCCCACGGAGCCACTGAAAACTCAGCATGGTTCCTCTTCTAATAGAGCTAAAGGGTGGAACTAGGCATTATCTCTGCAAATGCGTATTCCTCAAACCATGATTAGACAAGGCAGGGAGCACGCAGGGCTGGGGTGCACTTTGCAGGAAGGATCACTCAATGACAGCGAGGGAGCATCTGAGTCTTCCAACCTCCACCAGTTCTGTCCTGCAAATGCATCTGGTTCCAGAGCCAGGCTAGGGAATGATAATGGTGCTGATGATGATAAAGAAACAGGGGGCATTTTCAGGGTTCAGCAACTGGATGTGGGAAGGGTTAAGCTACCAAGGACAGGCCCCCTTTTTTCTCTTGGCATTCAGAATACGGAGCACACAAACACTGCGCACATTCATCAGCCTCCTATTTATTTACTTTTTTTTATTTGTAAGGTGTCAACTATGAAACATTTTCCTTTGCTGAAGTTTCATAGCAATGTGGTGTGGTGGTTAAAGCGATGGTTTAGGGCCAGGGAGAACAGGGTTCAAATCTCCACTCATCAAGTGACCTTGGGCCAGTCACTGTCTCTCAGCTGAACCTTCCTCACTGGGTTGTTTAAGCACACCAGCTTGAGTTCCTTGGAGGAAAAATTAGGATATAAATGCAATGAATGAATGAATGAATGAAAATAATAATAATCATCATCATCATCATCATCATCATCTATTTATACCCCGCCCATCTGGCTCAGTCTCCCCAGCCACTCCGAGTCTACCCACCCAATCAAGTGTTAAAAACAATACAGCATTAAATATTAAAAAACTTCCCTAAACAGGGCTGCCTTCATATGTCTTTTAAAGATAGGATAGCTGCTTATTTCCTTCACATCTGAAGGGAGGGTGTTCCACAGGGTGGATGCCACTACCGGGAAGTGTAACCTCACTTCTCATAATGAGGGAACCGCCAGAAGGCCCTCGGTGCTGGATCTCAGTGTCCGGGCTGAGTGATGGGGGTGGAGACGCTCCTTCAGGTATACTGGACCGAGGCCATTTACGGCTTTAAAGGTCAGCACCAACACTTTGAATTGTGCTTGCAAACGTACTGGGAGCCAATGCAGATCTCTCAGAACCAGTGTTATGTGGTCCCGGCAGCCACTTCCAGTCACCAGTCTAGCTGCCGCATTCTGGATTAATTGCAGTTTCCGGGTCACTTTCAAAGGTAGCCCCACGTAGAGCGCATTGCAGTAGTCCAAGCAGGAGATAACTAGAGCATGCACCACTCTGGCGAGACAGTCTGTGGGCAGGTAGGGTCTTAGCCTGCGTACCAGGTGGAGCTGGTAGACAGCTGTCCTCGATACAGAATTAACCTGCGCCTCCATGGACAGCTGTGAGTCCAAAATGACTCCCAGGCTGCGCACCTGGTCCTTCAGGGGCACAGTTACCCCATTCAGGACCAGGGAATCCCCCACCCCTGTCCACCCCCTGTCCCCCAAAAACAGTATGTCTGTCTTGTCAGGATTCAACCTCAATCTGTTAGCCGCCATCCAGATAGATGACAGATAGATAGATAGATAGATAGATAGATAGATAGATAGATAGACAGATGATAGAGATTACCTGCTTTTCATGCTTTAAAAGTCATGCCCCCCCCCCCACTTCAGGCTTAATGATCCTGTGAACAGGAATGTATAAAGGGCAAATCCACCCCATATATAAAACATGTAACTCCCCGCCCCAGACTCTTGGGAACTGTAGTTTTTCCCTTATAGAGCTCCCAGCATTCTTAACAAACTCCAGTTCCTTGGATTCTTGGGTGTGTGGATGTGGGTCATGTGCTTTGAATGTGTGTTGGTTGTGCTTGAAATATACATTATGGGTCTTCCCCCTCCCTGTATACTGACCTTGGTACAAAGAACACAACTGTCTCTACTGAGGGAGACTTTGCAAGTACAGCTGTATGCATGTGAACTTCCAATGACATGGAAACCTGCTGTTGCCACACTGCGACTCCATAGTGGGGCAGAAAGTATGCCAGCCCTGGGAGCGGCATACTTGTTTTCCACTGGGATCAACGGGAAGTCTCCCCCCCCCCTTAGAAAACCAATGGAAGAGCAAAAAGAGGGGACTCACATGTCCTTGTTTGCACACAAACACGCTTATTTCTTCTGCTGCTCTTTTTGGATTGCACTGCCCATGTTCCTGTCCTCCACAGCAGGGCTAACTCTTGCATCCTTATTTACATTCCCCAGCCATGGAGTGATGGGCAATGAATGTAGAGAATTGGCGGCTTTGCATTTCAAAGGTACAAGGAATAATAGGGCCAATTTAACCCACTCATCTTGTATCTGGATTTCTTCTTGTGTTTCAATACCGGTACATTTGAACTTCTACTTACCACCGCCTCTTCTTAAGGTCGCTACAAGTCACGACTGCAAACCTGGAAGTAACCGGTGGGTTTGCCGCTGTTTGCGCATGCGCAGCAGTGGTGATCGCCATTCACTCTCCCAGCGACCCATTTTGACCTCTGGACAGACCTCCAGAACAGATTATTGTCGCAAATAGAGGTTCCACTGTATATGGATGAACAATGTGCCTGTTGCTGTTTTTTAAAGACACACTAGATCTTTGTGTGTTCTATAAACCAATTGAAGATCAGCCTTGAATTCCGCAGAATGGCAAATATCCAGCACCTTCAAGCTGTCTACATGGCAATCATACATTGCCAGGGAAAACCTTAGGTAGACTGTAGCGAAAGTATGCATTGCTCTGCTTTGATTGCAGTGCCATGTATTAAAGGAAGCCGTAATCAGCAAACCCATGTGATCTCTTGGAGTAAGAGAACCTTGAATGGGGCCAGGGAGATCATCACCATTCAAAACATGAAGCCCCATTCTAGGAAAATGATACTAGCTCAGAATGCAGAGCTGGGCTCAGGCCCAGGATCGTGGCACCGAGAGAAACATCTGTCAGCAAGCTAAACTGCAGGAGATGAAAAGGCAGCCTTTGGCCCGAGAGAGCACTGCGGCGCTGAGTGAAGGAGCCAAGTGAAACAGGGAAAGGGAAAAGGAATGGAGGCAATGGGCCTGGCCAACTGTGCACGTTAAGGGGGAAGGATAACCTATTTGTGTTGAGATTTTCTGTGGGTGGATACATTCCGTTACAGTTACAGCTAAGCACCGCAAAAGTAATGTTGACAGGGAAACACCTGCTTGCAGAAACGGCTGCAGATTATATATCTGCACGCATAAACCCAGGTGACATTTTAGTTCTCTGGTGGCCAACAGGGGCTGAATGATGGTGGTTAGTTATATTGAAATAAATATCCGATAGAAAAGTGCAATGGTAAAGCGACAACAGGAAAAGGCAGGAAATGTCAACAATTCTTTCAAAATTGTGTCTCATTGTTTCATTCTGTTTGCAAACTGCTTTGAGTTTTTGTGTCGATCCAGTGGCATATACATCTTGTGATATATCGCACTGAGACTAAAAGTGGTATGTTGGTGACCCAGCAGAAGGAAAAAGAGGAACAGCATGACATGGAACAACCACTGCTAATATCCCTTGTCTGCACCACCCCCTCACCCAAGCTCAATTATGCAAAGCCTTTCATTTCGAACAATCCAAAGACTAGGAGCAACCAAGGGTCAGTGGGGAAGAGGAGCAGACACCAGCTAGAGACTGTGAAACTAGCCAGTGGGCATTTGAGATTCTGATCACATTCCATATGTGAAGTTCTAGAGGCCATTTGTCCTCCTTTGCCCAAAGGCCTTAAGGTTAAGTACTGCATAGCAACTTAAGGTTAAGTACTGCATAGCACCAAGCATCACTAAGTATGATGGTGGCCACTCAGTCTCTGCCTTAAGTTGTGAATGGGACTTCCCCCGTCACTGTTCTGATCTAGTCAGCAGTAGAAGGAGATGTTCTGAAGGACATTTGTGCTATGCAAACTGCAGACTGTGCAGCCCAGGACTGGTCAGTGAGCAAAGACCCCACAAAAGCTGTTGCAGCACCATTTCACACTACAACATTTTGCTGCAGATCCCATTAGTATTATTGCATGAAGCAGGTTGTTTGCCTTTTCTCAGTGAGTTTTTAACTTGAATTTTATTGAATTTCTGCCCCAAAGCAAAAACAAATAGTTAAACAATGAAAAATAAGCCATAATAAATCAAATCAACACATTCTGTCCATACATTTTTGGGGAGGAGTGAGGGGGAAGCAGGTCATGGTGCAGACCAAACCATTGCCCAGACATTCAAGCAAATAAATCTGAGAAGGAGAGTATGTACAGTGGTACCTCGGGTTAAGTACTTAATTAGTTCTGGAGGTCTGTTCTTAACCGGAAACTGTTCTTAACCTGATGAGGCCTCCTGCTGCCGCTGCATCGCCAGAGCACGATTTCTGTTCTCATCCTGAAGCAAAGTTCTTAACCCGAGGTACTATTTCTGGGTTAGCGGAGCCTGTAACCTGAAGTGTATGTAACCCGAGGTACCACTGTATCTGAAAACTTCCATTTCTCTTGTGTTTGTGGAAGGCCACCATCCTTAGTTGCCAGATGAATCATATCTTCTGTCTATGGTACAACTGGTAGGGGCAGACCTCTTGTCCCAGTATTGAAGTGTTAGATGCTTAGCTACCCTGAGTGCCCTCTGCCAGTTCGATTGTCTCTCTGTCAAGTTCCAAAGGACCAGAACATACTTCATTAACATCTGTAAATCTCAAGGAGGTGACCAAAACCATATTTATATGGCTGATGACTTCTAAGCAAAAGACTTTGACTTTAGGACGATATCTTCATCATCATCATCAAACCTTTTATTGGCATCACATGCAAAAATCCATTGTGAATCAATACAGAATTACCACCTCCCCAATGTCACAGAACATTTGTCAAATGAAAAGAGGCAAAACAGTCTAACGTTACATCTCTAGGTCTCCAGGGAGTTCAGACATCTGCAATGTGTTTCTGCGACAAAAAACCAAATAAAGATATTTAGCCACTAACTTGGTGAGCTCCTGATCATTCCCCAGTAATAGAAAATGTATGACCTCCAAATCTGGTTTCCATTTGGGGATGCAGAGTTGATCTAGAAACTGCTGGCGGAGATCAGCATATAGTTTACATTTAAGAACCATATGAGTAAGAGTTTCCAGCAGGTGGTCTTCACATGGGTAAATTTTTTCTCCTTCCACCATTCCCGAGAACCTTCCCCAAAGGAGGTTTGATGGATTTGAATTAAACCCGGCCAGCGAAAATGCCCTTCTTTCGTGAGGGATAAGCAGAAATTCAAGATAATTGTGATTAGTTTCATATGCCCAAGAAAGTTGAAAGTAAAGAGGAGAACATGTTTTCTCTGCTGCTGCTATTAGTTCCTTGGCTCAATGGGCTAACTGACTGGGAAGGCTCTGGGAATTTTACCTACATTTCCCTGCAGGGAAATAGTGTGGTGGACTAAATTCTGATTCCCACTAAAATGACGCCCTACGTGGTTGAGTTTCACATAGGTGATCCTATGCTCAGTGACCACCTCCCTCTACACTGCAAACTTGTCTTTCCATCGAGAAAGACAGAACAGTTACCGTATTTTTTGCTCTATAAGACTCACTTTTTCCCTCCTAAAAAGTAAGGGGAAATGTGTGTGCGTCTTATGGAGCGAATGCAGGCTGCGCAGCTATCCCAGAAGCCAGAACAGCAAGAGGGATTGCTGCTTTCACCGCACAGCGATCCCTCTTGCTGTTCTGGCTTCTGAGATTCAGAATATTTTTTTTCTTGTTTTCCTCCTCCAAAAACTAGGTGCGTCTTGTGGTCTGGTGAGTCTTATAGAGCAAAAAATACGGCAATTAATCCCCCCCCCCCCCCCAGGAACTGAGACCCCAGCACACAAGGATACCAGTTAACGATATCAAGTGTTCTGTGAAGGGCATTACAATGTCAGCATTAGTCAAAGCTGGGTATTTTTTTTCTTAAAAGGTTTCTGTGGGGAGCAATAAAACCCAACTTCTCCTCCCCCGATCAAGCAACAAATGTCTTGGCTTTATCTATTTTTCACTGCTCCTGAGAATTTGCCAAGCAACTCCGAGGAAGAGGTTTCCAAGAAAGATCTTAGGGTTCTTTCTCACCAGTTCGCTCTGCCCTTTATTTATTTATTATTTATAAACCTCCCTTAATTAAAAATAACCGGGACAGTAAACAACAAACGTAATCCAAAAATGGCCCAAAAGCCATAAAATACAATAATAAAACAGCGTTGAAAGGCAGAATGGATTAACGCTGCATAAAAGAGTTCTCTCGCAAGTTCTTGTTTAAAGCCGTACTCCATCAATGGATGATAAAACAATTGCACTTATCAAAGGAGAAAGAAAATGGTGGTGAAATTCTCAGGGTTGGGGTGCAGGGTTTTTGCAGTGCTTACAGCTCCCCTGAGATGACCAAGGGGAGTTTGTGAGTGTCCATCCCTTCATTCCACAATCATATGACCAGTGGTCTGCACTTTGCAGTCTTCTGGTATTTTCATACTTCAGTTAAAGCTCCCCTTTTATGTTGGTTGGGTCTTCTTCCTCACTTTCTTTAAAGCTTAATTTTATTTTTGACTTTGCTCACAAGGCTCCTCAGCATGAACCCCGGGCACTCTTATTTTGCTGAGACACCAAAATGTGCATTTACACATAGAAATTAGCATATGCAAATTTTGGAACAAATTTGTGCCCTGGGCCTGTGCTTGCAATACTCCTGAAAGGCACTAGCATATTTTATTGTAAGAAAACCAATTATTGTTAATAATATGGACTACCTGGAAGCTTTAAGTAGAAGTAAACCATACATAGTTTTAGGCAGACTTAGACTGCAGTCCTATACATGACAGCTTCACTGGACAAGGCAGGACTTACTTCTGAGTAGACATGCATAGGATTGTATTGCTAGATAGGTCTATAAAAACAAAAACATGAATGGAGAAGAGATGTGGGAAGCTGTTAGGTCAACTCCATAGAACAAGTAAATGTCAGGATGAAAGCAGGCCCTAAGGATTTATAGTTATTGCAATCTGGGCTGCACTATAAATTTAAAGCTTCCACCCAAAAAAGAATGCTCCGAATTGTGGTTTGTTGTGGGTGCTGAGAATTGCTAGGAGACCACTATTCCTCTCGCAGGGCTTCAGTTCCCAGAGTTTATTGAAAAGAGAGATTGGCTGTTAAACTACTCTGAAAATTGTAGCTCTGTGAGGAGGAATAGGGGTCTCCTAACAACTCTCAGCACCCTTAGTAAACCACAGTTCCCATGATTCTCTGGGGGAAACTATGGCTATTTAAAGTGGTATGATATAGTTTTTTATATATAGTGCAGATGGGAGCTTAGTCTCCACACAATGTATCCTTCTCAGCCTTGTTGACACATTGATCCTGGTCCTAGGACTCAGCTAGATTGGTAAAGAAAAAGCATTTTGTAGGCGTTTTACATGCAGCATAACACTGTGACACCAGATGGCGCTGTGGAGTTCCATTTTTGCCATCTCGATTTCTCATTATAACGCTTACAACACATTTTTCTGAAGCGTTTCTTTGATGTGTCTAGATCCAGCCCAAGTCCACCTCAATGTCGTTTTCTGCTGTTAGCTTAGGTCCCGTTGCTTTCAATTGGACTCAGTGTTGACTGACATCAGCTGGGTCAAGAAAGCTTTGTTGCCTACCCATTGGCGGTAGCAGCAAAAAATGTGCATGTCTGGATCGGCCATCATATTTCAATTACTGCAGGCAGAACTTTTGTGTTATGTGTCAACTCAAATACAACTCTTTTCAGCGGAGACAGGTCACAGGTCCCTATGAGAGTCAACCATCCATCAGACTTCAAGCAATGTGTGAATGATTCAATATTGCTCTATGGCTTCCTTTCAAATGAAGCTCTTTAGAAATGAAATTCACTGGAGTAAAATCTCCATGTTGACTAGGTCTTCGTTTGTGTGCATCTTCTTCCTGCCCTGATCACGGCTGGAGGACCTTCCCTTAAACAGACTTCCTTCTCTTCCCAAACATGTTGTTGATCAGTTTGGCCATAGATTTTGACCCACTAGGCCGCCTTTTCTCCTTCCCCTTAGCGTTTGAGGTGACGTTCTTCAGGACTTTGGTGAACATGGCTGCCACTTCCTGGCAATGTTCCGCCGCAGACAGTTCGCAGAATTGGCATTTGTAGTCCAGGGCCAACTTTTGCCCTTCCTCCCAGCCAACTTCACGCATATGGCACAGATCCTGCTTGTTCCCAACTAAAATGACAGTGGAGTCTGCAGCCCTGAGGGAAAGTTGAGGAGAGGAAAAACTCATGAAACACAATTTGTTGATCATTTTATTCTGATGTTGCTTATTATTGTTTATTTATTATTGCAGTTATATTCCCTCTATTCTCCAAGGAGCTAAAGGTGGCATTAGGTTGAGACTTTGACTGGCCCAAGTTCACCCAGTGAGTTTCGTGACTGAGCAGGGATTTGAACCCTGGAATCCCAGGTCCTAGTACAACACTAACCACTAAACCACAACGGCTTTCTATGTTACATAGGGTAGCCCTGTGTCCTGTTTTACAGATCCTCTATCATGTGTCATTATTAATTATTATTATTACAGTGGTACCTCTGTTATGAACTTAATTCATTCCGGAGGTCCGTTCTTAACCTGAAACCGTTCTTAACCTGAGGTTAACTTCAGCTAATGGGGCCTCCCGCTGCCGCCGGCGCGCGATTTCTGTTCTCATCCTGAGGTAAAGTTCTTAACCCGAGGTACTACTTCCGGGTTAGCGGAGTCTGTAAACCAAAGTGTTTGTAACCCAAGGTACCACTGTATTAATTTCTAAATGTGTTTATAAGCTAGCAGATGCAACTTTGTATGTCCTTCCTTTGATGATGCGTTTCCTCCATTTTTGGAATGTGTAAGTAGTCATTATGCTGCATAGAAATACTGCCTTTAGCTTATTCACATGGATCAGACAATTTGGTGGTGTTTTTACCAATACAGTTTTAAGCCCCACTGATAATGGGTTTGCAAGGCAGTACCTAAATCTTAAGAAGCAAATGAAGAACATGGTTCAGTTCATGTTTTGCATCCTGAATGTAAGAGATTAGGGCCTTACCTGCACTGCAAACCTTTATCAGATATATCCTGCTTGAACTGACATAGCTTCACTTAAAAGAATCTTAGGAACTGCGGTTTGGCGAAATGCTTTAGATTTCTCCATTGTGATCCTTCTCCCACCCTCATGTAACTCCATTTCCCAGGGCTTCTTGGGAAAAAGGAATGACTCTTAGGCCAGCAAAACCCTGGATGCATTTAGACACGGGGGTTATTGCATTAGTTCTCCTGGTTATACTGCTAGGACTACTGTCCTGGTGTCCAACCATCATTTTACAGTGTGTCACCTGTTGCATTATGGAACTGGCTTGATATACCCTCATGTCATGCTAAATTTCATTCAGTGGGCATGGTGTGACACAACAGCAGACATCATGGGACATGTCTCCACTCTTCAAATGCCTGCATGCTTCTGTTCCCACCGTGAAAACTACGGGAAAGTCCTATATGCCAGAACTGCACCACAAATTTCATTGCTTGGGTGGCAGTGGTGTGATCCACGAAGACAACAGGAAGATTACAGTGTAAAACACCCGTGATTTTCCAGGTTAACAGTGTCACAAACAAATATTTTTTGGAAGTCGTTAACCTGAGAATTGGAGAAGGAACGGGCAATCCACTCCAGTATTTTGCCAAGAAAACTCCATGGACATAAAAAAGGAGCATGCTCTGGTTCATAGGGTCACGGAGAGTCGAACACGACTAAGACAACTAAATAAACAACAACAACCTGAGAATGAGCACGGGATTTCTACTAGATTTGCAGAAGCGGCTCTTATGTCATGTGACAGATTACATAAAGTGTGAAAAGGATGAGGATAATCATAGATTTGGAGTTTGAAGGGACCACAAGGATCATACAGTCCAACGTCCTGCAGTTCAGGAATATTCTGCCCAATGTAGGCTCAAACCCGTGACCCTAAGAATAAAGGGCTGTCTGAATGCAGTCCCTGTAATACAGATATGTTCAACAGGATGGGAACTATAAGAAATAACCAGACTCTCTCATGGGTATCACAATCCTTTCAACATTCCTAGTTCCAGCCATTGATGGGCTTACCTTTTACAGCCCGACATGTGGCACTCTCGTATCCGGTACAGCAAGGCTTTCGCAAAGGCAAAGGAGGCTCTGTCACTGATTGCGTACACGACCACAAACCCATCTGCCCAATGGAGCTCATCGGTGAGGGACAACTTCCCCCGTCGAGGCTGGAAGGTAACAGACCCATCACATGAGAGGATGCGTCAGCATAGCATACCATAGAGCACCTTAATGACTGCAAGCACTGAATTTTAGATACTTTGCCCTGGAAACTCTCACCTTTAACCTATGAAAGCTGCTTCTAGTGAAGTATGAGAAGCTGAGGTAAGCAGAACAAAGGGGGATACTGGGAGTGGCCGCTGAGACCACATAACACTGGTCCTGAAAGACCAACATTGGCTCCAAGTATGTTTCTGAGCCCAATTCAAAGTGTTGGTGCTGGCCTTTAAAGCCCTAGATGGCCTTGGCCCAGTGTCTCTACCCCCATCGTTCAGATGGACACCGAGGTCCAGCTCCAAGGGCCTTCTGGTGGTTCCCTCACTATGAGAAGTGAGGTTATAGGGAACCAGGCAGAGGACCTTCTCAGTAGTGGCGTCCGCCCTGTGGAACACTCTCCCATCAGATGTCAAGGAAATAAACAACTATCTGACTTTTAAGACATCTGAAGGCAACCCTGTTTAGGGAAGTTTTTAATGTCTTATCATGTTTTTAATATTCTCTTGAGAGCCGCCCAGAGTGGCTGGGGAAACCCAGCCAGATGGGCGGGGTATAAATAATAAATTCTTCTTATTATTATTATTAGCATGTAAACACATAGAAAATCACAATAACTGCTTTGTTGGTCCAGACCAACTATCCATGTAAGTTCACATGAACTTTTGGTGCACACACCTATATGGTGTTGATATACAGCCCAAGATTCTGTCTATAACAGGGGCAAACCAGCCCCCCTGGGCTCTCCCCTGTTATTTGGTGATCAGAAATATCACAACTAACTGGAACCTAAGTGGAACAGCCATTGACAGCACCATCCTCCAAGAATCAACTTAATTCCTTTTTATAAACAGCACGTGAACTTATTGCCATTGCAACATCACGTGGCAGTGAATTGCATAAGCAGATTATGGGCTATCGGATGCGAATGTGGATGCATACATTAAATAATTATTTGATCCCAGCCATTGGTTTCCACCAACACCAACCCAACCCTCTCAATTATTTGCATCCCAGAAAGGAGCACGCAACCACAAACCATGTTTGGACCACTTTTTGGATCAAAATGGATTGACATCGAAGACATGAATCTTAATTAGGGGTTCAGTTTAGACCCATGGATCTCGCAGCCCCCTCTCCTGCACTTTATTTCCCAACATGACTTAAAAGACCTTCAGAGTGATGTGACATGATGCAACATCAGAGCGTGTTGTCGGCAGTGTTCTTTAACTTACTTGTGAACAAGGATCATATATTTCCAGGTTGATCGGCTTTCCTTCCAGACAAACGTGCTTTGTATAGATGCACTCTGTGAGACAAGAGAAGGAGGACACACATGATCATGAGTGTAAAAAAAAGAAAAAATAGAGTTGCCACTGCTCATGTAAAAACCCCAGGATTCACATCCTCACTCAGTCACTCATGGAGTGAACTTAGGCCAGTCACATTCTCTCAGCCTAACCTACCTCACAGAGTTGTTGTGAGGATAAGATGGTGGGGAAGACATCCATTTATGCCACATTGAGTTCCTCAGAAAAAAGTTTGGATATACAGTCATACTTCAGGTTGCAGGTTTTTTCGGGTTACGGACTGCCGAAACCCAGAAGTACCGGAATGAGTTACTTCTGGGTTTCAGTGGTTGTGCATGCACAGAAGTGCTAAATCGTGCTTTGCGCATGCGCAGAAGCGCCAAATCACAACCTGCGCATGCACAGATGTGCAGGTGTGGGTTGCAAACGCTGCGGGTTGCGAATGTGCATCCCACAAGGATCACATTTGCAACCCGGGCATCCACTGTAAATGCCATTCATTCATTCATTCATAAATAAATAAATAAATAAATAAATAAATAAAGTGGTATGTCAGCCTGGATAGCTCAGTTGGTTAAAGCGTGGTGCTGATAATGTCAAGGTTGAAGGTTTGATTCCCTACTCCTGTGTTGCAGGTGGTTGGACTTGATCCTCAGGGTCTCTTCTAACTCTACAATTCTGTGATTCTGCTTTCAATGCATAGTGCAGATGGGACCTAAGAGGCAAAGTAGATTCAGATTTTCCAAGTTAGTGGCGGCTTACCAGAGTCAGAAGCATATTCTCCAATGAAGCGCCTGGTCAGAAAGCGTACTGTAAGGGCTGCAATGAGAGGAACAAAATGTGACATGAGAAATGATCTTCAGCCTGTCGGACAAACCCAAGACATTTTGCTGCCGGAGGCAGGACAACAATGTGCACAGTACCCACAAAGTTGGCACTGAGGCAGAAATTCCACAAGCCTCTATTTCTGGAAATATAATTACAATAATAAATCATTTGCTTCTCATTTGTGACATACGTAGTTACCAGCAACAGACACTTCATTCTGGCCCAAAGTAGGGCCAGCCATGATGACACAAAAGTGTGGGCTGGCACTGATGACAACTAGGTTACGTGGACTTGTGTGCATCTGCAGGACAGACACTGCAATAAATCCCCATCTCCCTAAATCTCACGGATGGAGAAAGTTGACTGCAACTAACAATTGCCTTTGTTTTCAATGGGACTTAGTTTTGCTGGAGCCTGGCCACAGAATGTACTGACACTTTCCTGGAAAAGGAGACAAAAGCAAGATGCTCCAGGCAATTAATTGGTCCCTAATGCTGAAGAGACCAACAATGGATCCCTGGTGAGAAAGGACTTGGTGCAGAAGAGGAAAGAATGGAGAGGCACTTTTTAGCACTCATTTATGAATGTCATTTAAGTCTGTCTTTTCTCCCATGGTGGAATTCAAGATGGTTAAACATGGGGAGCCCACTGAATCTCTCATCCAAACACTCTTCAGACTGCAGTCTGCTTTACTTCCACAGGAGTGTTGCATCACTTGCCTTCAGACAATGTCCTGGGCACCTGCATACTCCCCTGGAACTTGAATTTCAAGTTTCAGTGTCAAATTGAAACAGTAAAAGTGGGCAGTGTGGTGGAATGATCTACTCCTCAAGCTAGAAGCACATTCAGCTCTGCCACCGATAATCTGGGACAATGCAGGACTTGGGTCTGCACAAAATAATTTGGGACAATAGCAGGACTCAAAGAATTGCAGAGTTGGAAGGGATACACTAGGGTCATCTAGCGTAACCTCCTGCAATGCAGGAATGACAGTTACAGACCCTGGCAGGTGGTCATCCAACTTCTGTTGAAAAGTCTCCAATAAAGGAGAGTTCACCACCATCCAAGGTAGTCTATCCCACTGTCAAGTCAGAAAGTTCTTCCTAATGTTTAGTCAGAATCTCCTTTCTTGTAACTTGAATCCATTGGTTCGGGTCCTAGTATCTGGAGCAACAGCAAGCAAGCTTGCTCCATCTTCCATGTGACACATCCCTTCAGATAGCTGAAAATGGCTATCCTATCATCTCATCATGTCTGCACAAAACAAGCTGGCAACATCAGCAACGGGATTTCTCATGCCAAATTAGGATGATGTTGCTGATGATGATGATAATTCTCCCACACATTTAATTAATGGCTCTACACTGGAGAGGTGCCACTGGGTGAATCCCAAAGGCATCCTTAAGGAACCCCTGGAGCAATATTTGGGCTATTGCGAGTGAATAGCTTACAGATCTTAGTGCAAATCTGGATTTATAGACTCTAGAGTTAGTTTTGGAGAACATTGCCAATGACTTAGTTTTGGAAATTATTGGTCGGGAGAGGTGAGATATCAAAATGTCACATTTGGAAAGTTGATTCACTGAAATGTCTGTGCATGTTAACTCTGAAGATAAGTCTGTTTTAGATCAAATGGGCTCAAGAAAATATTGCTAAACTGACAGCATTAGAGAGTTTGTGCTTCTAAAAAAAAGAAGAAAGAAAATGTACCATTCAAAAAGTTGAACTTCCAATTTCAATTTTGCAGTTTCAGATTCAGCTATTGGAATTTTCAGCTGTTTCAAACGCTGCTTTGCAAAATTTCAAATTGAAGACATCCCAGAATTCTGGACACACACACACACACCCTCACATGAGCTAAGTGGCTAACTTTTATTCAACCAGTTCTCCTCCTGTTCCTGAAGAATGACATTTAGAACTTAAGCAGCCAACACTTTTCTAGGTACTGAAGATACACACTGGCAGAGGTTTCACTGCTCTATACAAAAGTCCTGTTAAAGGCATAGCAGCAAGGTCTTGGTGGGGAAATGGCAACCATAAGTAGGTATTTTGAAAGAAGGGTATTTTTAATTTTTAAAAACATATAACATAAATAAATACAGATACTTTCTAGATACATATGCCAAAATGCTGTTAACAGGACAGAAGCAGGGCCTGTGAAATGTTGGCAATTTGGATGAGGTATATGGGAAAAAATTATTTTCTTGCGCAAAATAAATAAAGACACCTCTTGGACACATATCACTTGATCGTATATCAAAAGAATGGGAAACAAAAAATCTCTCTCTCTCTCTCTCTCTCTCTCTCACACACACACACACACACACACATCTTATCCTATAAACTTCGTGTAAACTTCAGATTATATCACAAACACACCAAGCAGTCCCTCACCACAGCCAAAAAACCGTTGGGGGGGGGGGGAGACATGGAGAACTCCAGTAGTTTTTTTAAGTTATCCCAAAGTGCCTGTAAACCGATATACAACAGCAATTTAGATAGCTAGAAAAGGGAGGTCAAACAGAGGGGATCCTTACCAGATTTGCCTGTTCCTTCGCTGCCCAAAACTGCTACTTTCATTTCATTCATTCTTGAAAAAGCAACCCCGGCTGATTTTATTCAGGCACTTAAAGCGATCCGAACCACAAACTTCCCCGCAGGGCAGATGCGCTCGCGGGTGGCACAACTTCAGTCTGTTCCTATTGCCTCTGCGCCCTGGTCTTTACGCACTTCGCCTACTTCCCTAGAGAACAATTTGGAGCTGTTTGACCGCTGCCTGCAACTTCTTCTATTTAGCCTCCCGGGCTGAGGACGTCAAGGGAGGGCAAACTGGGAGCATAATAAGGCATTGCAGTTCAAGAACCCGCCCACCCTTAGATGCCTGCGTTTTTCGTTTGTGTGTGTGTGTCTGTTTGGCAAGGAAAGGAACTGAGACATCTCTCCCATCTCCGTCCAAGCCTGTGATCACTCTCTCCTCTTTGCAACGGTATGAAACAGGCACAAAGCAAACAAGAACCTGCTCTGGTCAATTTCCTCCCTGCCTGTTAAGAGGCGAGATGGATATTTCCTCAAATGACATAGGGAGAAGAAAGTGAAATTGAGTTCATCCTGTGAAATTGACCTCCTTAGTTTTTGAATGTCCCCCGAACTGGTGATTTTATTGTTTTAACTGGGCTTTATTTTTAAACTATTTTAAGTCTGTTTGTTTTATTTTATAAAATTTATAGTGTGCTTGACTGTAAAAATAAAAATATAATAAAAACCCTCAAAGTGGTTTATAAATAAGGACAAAAGTGTAAAATCATTGCTAAAAAGAATTAATAACAATAATTTAAAACAGACAACAAATAAAAATTCACAAGCTAAAATCAGATGAAAGCACATATCAACATTCTACATAACTGGGTAGGCTTGTTTGAACAAAAATGTTTTTATCGGGCGCTGAAAAAAGTACAGTGAAGCTGCCTGCCTGATATCATGGTTGCTTTATTGTATATTTTTGTAAAGGATGTTTTAATGTTATTGCGTATTTTAATTATGTATTGATTTTATAGCTGTAAAGTACTTAGAAGGCATTTTGGCATATAAATGGCATAATAATTAATCATATTATTAATTAATAATAATAATTAATCAATTATGATTATAATAACTTGCCCATCATGTTATTTCCAGAGTTTCCCCTGCAAAAGCAACACTGGAGTTAGGAGAAGGAAGGGCAAATTCACAGAAGATGGTGTCTCCCAGTGGCTATTGATGGTTATATAGAACCTTTAGAGGCAGTATATCATTGAATTCCAGTTTGGGGATGGGTTTGGGAACAGCACAGTGTGGCTATTGCATTCATGCTCTCCTCGTAAACTTCCCAGGGGCTGCTGGTTGGCCTCTGTGAGAACAGTTAGATTAGCAGCAGAACAAGCCACCATCTTCAATGGGGCTTACTTCCTAGTAACAATGCAGTCCAATAAAAGTCTTCTGAGAAGTCCCACTGAGTACAATAGAACACAAGGGTATTAGTTCAAGCTAGGAAACAGGGAGTAGTGATTTACTAGTCTGGTATGCAAGTTGGGCTTTTTTCCCATTACAAAAATAGAAAGATGTGATTTACTCCTATTTCTGTAAGTTTTATTGCGTTGCACTGGGGTAAGGAAAATCATCTATAGGGCACGTTCAAATGTCTCTGGGGCCAGACAAAATAGGTGCAAAAATGAGTGCAGAAGTGGAAATACATGCCACAGTAGCTCAGTAGTAGAGCACATTGTTTGCATTAAGAAATTGCCAAATTCAATCCCTGACACCTCCAAGTAGGGCAGGGAGAACCTTCCTTCCTAAACCCCTGAGGAGCCACTGATTGTAGACAATACCCAGGTAGATAGACTAATGGTCTGACAAGGTATATGGCAGATGCTGTTGTTCCTATGGATACTAGTTGCTGAGGAACAAGGATGGAAGAAGGCCCTGCATTCAGCAGAGGCTGGTCTGTCAGACCAAATGGCGATGCTGCCCCACCAACCTCAGACAACCCTCACCTGTGTGCCTTCTTCCTTACAGCCAGCCCAGGCAATGGCACTGCCAATCAACGTCCTCCTCCTTCATCTCAGTGTTGCCATTGTATCACTCAGGAGGGAGGAGGGTGTGTCGGGTGGACTAGAATTATATGGCTGACCTCTGCCCTACACATCTCATTAAGACACCAGCCTCCACTGCATCCATCCAAACTCTGCTTCTGGGCTTCCCAGAGAAATCTGGTGGACAAAGGATGCTGGATGAAGTGGACATATGGACTGATCCAGCAGCCTGTTTCTTCTGACTTTACAATGTCTTGTGTTTACTGGTATACTAGCCTGAAATGTAGCAAACCAGTGGCACTGGGATACACAGTCCTATGTGTCTTGGGGCCTTAGGGTGAGTTCCTCAGAAGAAAGTTCCTGTTCAGGAATTGACCTTCTGGAATAAACGGAGGCATTGTGTGTGTTTTGTTGCCATAGGGTTTATTTTTAGTATCAGAATGCTAACTCCTTTTTCTTCTTTTTTTAGCTCCTGTGTTTTCACAGTTACACATTGCGCTGTGAAAAAAGCAGACCACAGAAGTGGGGGCACTGCCTGGAATTGTAACTTTTGCCCTTTGGCTTAGCTAGCTAAACATTGCGATTCTCTCACCGCAAAGGAAGCATTTAATAAAAGCAAAAAGAAGGAAAGGGTGACTATGCTGACCAGGAGGTTTATTTATTTTGCATTCCAGCCATGTGGCTAGTCAGCTTCAGAAACCCATGTCGAAAATTGCTCCTCACAGATGAGGACTGGGAAAACCAGGCATACTTCAGTGTGAGCTATCAGCATCTAGCCTAGAATGTGGGTGGTCGGATGCAAAAGACGACTGGGCTCCTACATCTTTAATAAGAACATACCTGGAGCAATGTTCTGTTTCCATCAGCAGACAACCAGATGCCTCTGAGAACTCACTAAAGAGGCCATGTGGTCATTAGCCCTCTTCTCCTGTTCTTTCATAGCAACTGCAATTCAGAGGTATGGTGCCTGGGATTCTGGACACAACACATAGCCATTGTGACTAGCAGTCACTAATAGCCAATTGTTTAATCCCCCTTTAACAACCATCTAAGTTCGTAGCAATCACCGCATCTTGTGGAAGTGAACCCACCAATTTAGGGCCTAGGCTAGAACAACAACAACAACAACAACAACAACAACAATAATGGGATGCGGGTGGTGCTGTGGGTTAAACCACAGAGCCTAGGACTTGCCAATCAGAAGGTCGGCGGTTCGAATCCCCGTGACGGGGTGAGCTCCCGTTGCTCAGTCCAGCTTCTGCCAACCTAGTAGTTCGAAAGCACGTCAAAGTGCAAGTAGATAAATAGGTACTGCTCGGATGGGAAGGTAAATGGCATTTCTGTGCGCTGCTCTGGTTCGCCAGAAGTGACTTAGTCATTCTGGCCACATGACCCGGAATCTGTCTGCAGACAAACGCCGGCTCCCTCGGCCAATAAAGTGAGATGAGCGCCACAACCCCAGAGTTGGCCACAACTGGACATAATGGTCAGGGGTCCCTTTACCTTTACCTAGAACAAAAATAAATTAGAACATAAGGAAATTATGGATGGCAGAGGTAGAAGGGGTGTTCACACATTGTATTCAACAAGTGTACAATCAGTGGGCCTCTTCAGATGACCTATAAATTAAGCCTCCATCCTGATTTGCTTGCACAAAGCTTATGTTGTACAGTGGAACCTTGGTTGTCGAACGTAATCTGTTCCGGAAGACCGCTCGACTTCCAAAACATTCAGCAACCGAGGTGCAATTGCCGGTCGGCAAAATTCATTGGAAAAATGGAGAAGCGCGCCACCGAAGCTGTTTGACTTGTGAGGTGCATTTGGAAACAGAAGCATTCACTTCCGGGTTGTCGGCTTTTGGGTTCCGAATTGTTCAGCTTCCGAAGCATTTGACAACCAAGGTTCCACTGTACAGTAATTAATTCCAGCTTGTATTGAGATGTGTAAATGCCCTGCAAGTAAATCCAGATGAGTGCTCAAAATTGTGCGGTCTGCCAAGTGATGTGAAGGATAACCTCTGGACCCCAAGTATTTGGTGCACTTCAGGGAACACAGCAGTGTTGCTGTGCATGGGAAAGATATATGATCTGAGGGGGAAGAGCTGAGAGGAAGCCAGGCTGAACGAGAAAGTGAGTTGAGGGAAGAGTTAGCAGCCAGCAGCCTTCAACTGTCGTTCATTGCAGCTTCTGGGAGCTCATGACCAAGAGCTCGCAAATAGGACTTGCAAACAGGGGTGTTAGCGAGGGAGTTTGGCATGGGAGTTGAAGGGAGAGGCCTAGAGTAATGCCTCATGGTGTGCATAGGACCAAGACACATGGAGGGCGAGGGAATGATCTGCAACACCTGTGCCTGGAACTTAGCCCAGCAGCTAACTCAATCCCTTGTATCTCCAGTTAAAAGGACCAGGTAAGAGATGATGTGCAAATGGTGTCCATCTGAGACTCTGGAAAGCCATTGCAGACATCTGCTCTGCCATGTAGAAGGTGCCAGTTTAATCCCTGGCATCACCAGTCAATCTCTGGGAAGGAACCACAACCAGAGTGAACAATGTAAGTCTAGATGGACTGATGGTCTCAACCAGTATAACACAGCTTTGTATGTTCAGCTAAGCCTGCTGTGGGTTTTTCTGTCACCACTGACCTGGCAATCCTACAGGGACTGTAAAAATCTCACAGCAGCTGGCAGGGGGTGAGCTTCAAATATTGATTTGGACTAACCAGCCAGTTATTCAGCTGCAGGCTTCTAGATACTACAGAATGTTGAATCCATATGGGTTTTGTGGAGAGGATTTCTCCCTCCTGCTCACAGAGACTTTTTTTTCAAACTCCAAATTGAATTTTGTTTTTTCCCCATTGGAGATGTAATGTTTGTTTTTCACATGCCTGAATCCCAGAGACCATTTGTCCTTCACTTTGAGTATAAAAATGTTGTTCCAGAGAAGTGGCCCTAGCTCAGGCTTGAGGAAACTTTGGCCTTCAGAAGTTGTTAGACTACAATTCCCATCAGCCTCAGCAAAGGATGATGCGTATGGTAGCCCAACAACATAAGGAAGGCCACAGATTCCCCATCCGTGTTCTATGCCATGGATGCCACTTAGGCTTCTGGTGGCAAAAGTGAATCTTTTAGCATCCCTTAATTGCAATCCTGATCCTAATCGTGTCCCATCAGCTATTACTGAACTTCAACTCCCATCAGCTCCAGCAAGCATGGCCAATGGCCCCCAATGATGGATGTTGTAGTTGAGCAACATCTGGAG